GCACCTCCTCAGCTGGCATGGCGGCCTGGCCATGTGGGGGTTGTTCCATGGTAGGATTGTTGCAACTGTATCTTTAGAAGCAGTTTTCAATTCTAAGTCATGAAGATTTGAGCTGCTCTTTCAAAATGTGAGGACATGTCCCGCCTCTCTGCTGTGTTTATTCTTGCTTCTATGACTTCACCCAAGTTTAAATACCATCTGGATGTCGATGTCTTCCACATTTACATCTCTGGTTCTCTCTCCTGAAATCCAAGACTCATGTATCCAACTGCCTACACCACACCTCCTCTTGGATGCCTAATAGAAATCCCAAGCACGACGTGTCAAGATTTGCAATCCCCTTTCCGCCCACAGACACGCTTCATCTGAGTCTTCCCCATCTCAGGGGATGGAAACTTCTTCCTTCCAGTTGCTTGTATTTGAAATTTTGAAGGGAATCCTTGGCTCTGCTCTCTTTCACACATCACATTGATTTATGAAGAAATCTTGTGCTGGCCCTTTAAAAATACACTGAAGCACTTGTCACCTCTTCTCCATTGACCTAGCCACCATCAGTACCGTTTCCTCTTCATTTGGACGGTTGCAATCACTTCCTATTTTCATCCTTGCTACTCTAGAGATTATTTTCAACCAAGTCACCAGAGTACTCCTTTTTTCTACATGTGTGCTGTATGTATGTGGTGTGTGATGTGTGTGTGTGTGTGTGTGTGTGTGTGTGTGTGCTTTCCCATGAGCATACTTGGAGAGGCCAGAGGAGGACATCAAGTGTCTTGCTCTAGCATTCTCTGTCTTATTTCCTTGAGACAGAGTTTTTCACTGAACATGCAGCTAGGCTGACAGCCAGCATACCCCAGTGATCTTCCTGTCTCTGCCCGCACCCCAGTGTTGGAGTTACAGGTGCCCATACAGATAAGCCTGGCTATTTCTGTGTGTGTAGCAGATTCAAACTCAGGTCCTCATGCTTTCTCAGCAAGTACTGTTATCCACTGAACAAATTCCCTAGCCCAGAATGTCACTCTGATTAAAATCTTTGGTTGGCCCCCAGTCTCCGTTTTTTTTTTTTTTTTCTGGTTATTCTGTAAGCCAATAATGACAGTGCTGTCTGTCCCCTGGATGACACTGAATTTCACAACAAGTTTCTATGCAAAGGAACATGCATGTAGGAGCTGGAGAGAGCCTGAACCAGGTTGAGCCTGAGATGGCCAAGTGTCATTGTGTTAGCTCTGTGATTAATTGTTGCCTCTTTTAACTGGAAGTGAATGCAAAAAACAGTGAGTTTGCTCATCAACCTGAACCCAAGTTGCAAGTAAGAGAAAAGCATGCTGACAAGTTCCAAACTATGTCAAAGTATCAGGATCATAATTACTTTTTAATATCTAAGAGTTTACTTTTCTTTGCTTTAAAGGAAGGGAGTGTGAAAACATAAGACACAAGGATTGTATCCAGAGTACCTGTGTCTGAACGCTTGCTCTCCAGTATAGAAGCATGGATTGTGGTTCAGGAAGTTCCCTCTCCCCCTCAACCCTATATCCATGGGACAATTTTGATGTTGAACTTGAGCATCTTGGCCATGTGACTGATGATTGACTAGTGGAAATTGAACAGCATTGAGTGTATGTTTCAAAGCTAGGTCTTTGGATTTATGGCCTGATAGCAGAGACACTTGCTGAGTAGTCTTCTGATTCTAGAAAAGTGAGAACTATGTGGATCAATCTGTCTCAGCTGACCTGGGGACCTTCAGCTGGAAGCAGAGTCATCTCAACCAACCTTCCCATATAACAGTGAGAAGCCAACATTTATTGTTGAGTGCATGTTCATTATCCAGAAATTGCTGACTTATATAGCCATCTACTTTGGACTCATATGTAACTGGGAATAGCAAATGTATCTACTTAGAAGGACCAGGTGAGCACTATTCAGGTAAAGTGCTTATAAGAAAAGCACAGGCCTTGGGGTGTGGAAAGTGACCATTCAGCATCAGCTCCGTATTTCTGATGCTCAGTGCATTGCAGAGTGGGTACTATAGTTCATGAGCAGGGCAAATTGGAGCTCTGCTGGGGTGTGTTCTGGGTAGCAGCAGTAAAATAGGCTGGGTGATGGCTTTGGGAGGGATGAGTTTAGGTGAGCCCAGGCAGTGTGGTTGAAGTGGGAGTATGTGAGGGGGAGCATTTGTTTCTCCCGTTTTCATTTAGAAGTATGAAAGCAAGAAATTCTGATGGGTCCCTAAGTGGGTGGTATCATGTGCATCTCCACCTGAGTTTATGGGCTGATGCCAAATAGCATGCAGCCTCTGGCAGAAGTTTGGGAGAGATGCCTAAGTTGTGGGCTTGAGGATGGCTCCTGTTTCAGAAACCTGTCTGCCACAGGGCCAGCCTTCCTCTGCTGGTAGCCTCAGGGGAGTTTAGCTGGAGAAAAGAGAGCTGTGGTTTCCTGCTGAGCAAATCAATCCTTTTCTGCCAGTGTCCTGGGCATAGTGGCGTCTGGGCCATTCCTGTGTATCAGGCTGTCATTATCCCTGTGGCGAAACTCCCTTCACATATGTGACAAAGGTCACTGCGAGGGACATCTCCATTATTCCCTGCTGGTGTGTAAGAGCACAGAACACCTGCTATTAGAGGACTTGTTATCACGTCTCCTCATGCAGGCCAGGGTCTCTTTGTCTTGTTTCAATTTCTTTCTTTTCCTGTGACCTGGCAGGTGTGGAGCATGAGGGAGAGATGGAAGAGAAGGTACACATGCTGTCTTCTCTTTGTGTTCCTATTTCAGAGGTGGAAAGAGCACAAGCTCCTTAAGAAGGTATAGAGATCTGGCTCCAGAGCATCATAGCTGTTACCCTCCCACCCATCATTATGAATGAATGAGGACATTTGTTCCTCCATGAATACTGAGATCTGATAGAGACAGAGCTCTTCTCTGTGAACTCTTTCCAGCCCCTTCCTTCCATGCTCACATCAAGTTTTGTAATGCTGCTGCCCCTCTGCCTGGAATGCTTTAGCTCCTCCACTTCTCCCCTTCCCTCCCTCTCTCCTTTACTCCTTTCTTTTCTTGCTTCCCTTTCAACTTCTTCTCTCCCTCTTCCCTCCCCTCCCCTCCCCTCCCCTCCCCTTCCCTTCCCTCCCCTTCCCTTCCCGGCTTCTCAGCCTCCATTACCTCTGGATGCTTCTTGAGCAGAGTGCCTGAAATGGAATACAAAATGAGTTGAAGGCCTCCAACTCCCAACCTTTCGACCTCCACCAGACCACCACGTGTTGCTGCCCACCCTGGGGTTCCGGAAGGATATGATATTGTTACCGTCATCCCTAGCCTTCAGATGAGGACTGTGTGAGAGAGTGATAACCAAGTCGGGGGCTCCCCTTCCCTCCCCTCCCCTTTCCTCCCCTCCCCTTCCCTCCCCTTTCCTTCCCTTCCCTTGCTTCTTCTATGGCAGCAACCACATCACTTAATATTAATCAGACCAGTTCAGGGGAGGGGAGAAGAGAAAAGACCCCGCCCCCAATGATTCTCTATGCAACTGACGATCTGATAGATTGTGTTGGGACTTAATGTATAATTTCATGGCTTTTCACGGTCTCGAAACTGCAAATTCAAGATTGCTTGAAAACATTTTTATTTAATTTTCATGCTTTCTTAATCAGAAAAGTTAAAAGAATAATAGTCTTTTATGGGCAGTTATAAATTTGCTATTTACACACAAGACAAATATCTCCCTTAGTTGAGCAATCTAAGCATGTACTTAAAATGCTGCAAGAATTCTGATGAGCAAGGGCATGATGTGTGTGGAGAGGATTTAAGTCATTCTTCTGAGTGACGTGTATCTGGGTGGAGTGATTTTCAGGTTCATTTGCTACCCCATCAGTCCCCGGGCCAACTTCTTCATATAAGAGTGACCTGGTGAGGAGCACGTTGTGGGGAGGGCTGGTATCTGGGCTATCTTTTCACTCATGCAGGAGATGTGTGTGGTAAGAAACAAGTGGATGAGGGCAGGGCTCTCAGTACCCTCCTTTCAGCTGTCCAAGGTGAGACCTGTAAACACCTGTTGTTTCCACATCACATTGGAGGTAGAAACAGCAGATCTAACTGAGGTACTAGCCTAGTGAAGGACCCACTGAGCAGATGCAGGAGTTAAAATGTCTGCATACTCTTTTTCCTTTGGTGAAAATAATTGTTCATCTATTGTTTGATTCACATACACCTCTAGACCTGGAAGGTTTTAGAAACCTGAGGTTCAACCTTTTACTTTAAAGATGAGGAAACAGTCAAAGTGAGAGAGCTCCCTGATGGAGTCAAAGCTGAGACTTGAATTCACACTGATGATGTACTTGCCTCTCAATTTCCCCGTATTGAATTTTCATCTCTTGGTGTATGCCACCTCACAGGCTTTCCCCCAAGTCCTGTAGCTTCTAGGATTGCTGGGGAACCTTCTTTCCCCCTTTCCTTCAGTGTGGCACTCTGTCCTCTTAAAGAGTTTGAAATGAGACACTCTGGAAATCCAGGAGGCTCGCAGAATCCTACAGATTCCTGGACCATGGAGGGTGAGGAAGAATGTCGCCCTGCCTCTTTTTGGAACGGGATCTAGCCACACGGAGGAGACCTGGTTCAGCTGAGGACTGCTGCAAGGTTTGAGATTATGTCCAAAGTACCTGGTGAATGCTTTTTTCCATCATACAGTTGGCAAAGCCCCAGCTATGGACAGCTGACATGGTAGAGTCAGTTGGCTGGTAGAATCCCCAGCTTATTACCAGTCCATGGCATAACGATGACCACATCATCATAACCATTATTGCCTTAGACAGGCGTGGATGACAAAGACGCTTCGGGGACTTGTGCTTGAAATGAGCTGCTTCTTAGCCAGCCCTGATTCTCCAGAGTGACTCTGTACAGAATTAAAGGATCATGAAGCTGAAAAGGGCCCATAGAGATCATCAGTTCTGGCTTCCTGCCTTCCGACAGGACTAACCTTTATAGAATAGTTGCTGTAAAGGAAATTGAACCAAACTTACTTTTATATGTTATTCTTGTGATAGTATCTCTGTTGAGCATTCGATTAAGAAATGGATTTGATGAATCAGAAACCTATAGGAGAAAAGAAAGTATCATTGAATGGGCAGTAATTGTCCAGGACAAATATCTCCATGCATTCTCTTATTCATTCACTAGAAATTCAGAGATCAGAGGCACAGACTCTTCTCTGTAAGAACCCCCTTATCTAGAGAAGGAAGAAAGGTTAGTAAACAAATCATTCTCATATAGATTAAGGAGTGTTCTGATAGAGTGACAGGTGTGATAATATTAGGGCGAGATCACCCACCATTGGGGTGGGGAGGTGGGAGGAATCAGGGGAGCTAATATCTGAGTTGGCCTGGAAGGATGAGTGGAAGTTAAAGTGCTTTGATATAGAACATGGGAAAGGAGGAAACGGAAGGAACAACTTACATGCAGAGGACCTGTTTATGGGAACTGGAATGCTCATGAAGTATTTCAGCGTAATTGGAGCTGAAGATGTTGGGAAGGACAAGAAGGGAGGCTTGACAGCCAGCCAGGCAGAAATTAGCCATGTTAAGCTTTGAACATCAGGATAGGTTATGTTTAAATTTTATTCTGTAGGCATGGGGAACTGTCAAAGAGTTTTGAGCAAGGAGTAGGGAGTGACATGCCAGGAGACGGATATTTATCTAAGTAGAAAGAGTATCCAGAATAGGGGTATCAGGAGATGGAGAAAAAAAGAATATAGAGCCTTGTAAACCACTGTTCATTATTGTAGAAATTGAATATATCATAAACTATAATATTTAGGCTTTCATTCATCTATCCAATCCATCCATCCATCCATCTGTCCATCCATCCATCCATCCATCCATCCATCCATCCAACCTATAGTTACCAAGTACCTACCACAGGCTGAACATTATACTAGATGCTCAGGGTTATATTCTTACTTTATGTTTATGCTCTTATATATCCAACTTTCTCCTTTAGGAGAAGCAGCAAAACTCCAAGGGGCTTAGGGTCAGAGAATCGCTACTGATAAGATCATAATGTAACCCCATGTAACCGTGTGCAGTTTCCTCAGTAACGTCCTTTACTCAGCCTTTTTTCTGTTCCACTGTTTGTCTTAGTCATTTATGTTCTACCTTGTTCGGCTCAGCTCTGCAATTTATGCTTCAGCTGCTAATCGGATGTTGTGACACATCAACATTTTAAATCTGATTTATTCGGAGGGTTGGAAAAAATCGCAGCAGATGATTATTGTTATTCGATAAGCAACAGGTAATTTTAGTTTGGAGAAAGCACAGACTGTTTATTTTGCCTCCATCTGTCTTTCTTTTCACAGAGTTTTCTGGGTGTGTTGTGGTGAGATACACAACTAAGGAGTGCTTTGGGAATGACAATGCTCAGTGGAGGTAAAAATCTACCCCACATGGAAATAAGCCCCAAGTCAAACACTGCTGCTCCCTGGGAGCGCCAGATGCAGCTTCTGCTGTGACATGGTCTTTCGCATTGAAAAGAGAGCTTGGAGCCTCCTGTTTGTACTGAACGGATGAGAACCACAAAGATCTCTGGCAAGTAAGGAATCTGCCATAGCTCTTAGCTGCTGGGTGCCTTGGGCTCCTGGTACCTGGTGAATCAGACAACAGAGCTGTCGAGACCAGCCCCCTTGGGAGCTGATTAAAAATTATTGAAAAATTTCCAAAATGTGCACAGATGATTTGTGGGCACAAGTGTGTTGGCTGTGTGGGTGAGAGGATAAAATATGTACTTGGTATAAGTGAGCTTAAGTGGGAAGTTAATGGTGTGTGATTGAGCAGCAATTATAGCCAAATCTCAGCTCTCTGTGGTCATGGGAAGGATGGGGGATTTGTGGAGGACAGAGATGAATAAACTCTCTGAGAAGCAAGTTTCTTTTTTTATTGACTGGCCGACTCTCTCTCTCTCTCTCTCTCTCTCTCTCTCTCTCTCTCTCTCTCTCGTGGAGGTCAGAGGACAACTTGTGGGAGTCAGTTCTGTCCTTCTACCATGGGCCCCAGGGATCGAATTCAGGTTATCAGGCTTGGCAACTAGTCCCTTTAACCGGTGGACCATTTTCTTTTACCACCAAACCTTCAGTCATCTAGGGCTCAGTATTTGGACAGGGTGACATTTCTCCAGGTGAGTCACTCAGATATGGGGAGTTTGAATCTCCTGTTCCTGCCTGGCCTTCAGGGAACTGGGATGGGGAAACAGGGGCATCATGAGGGCTGATGACTACCAGAAGCTGCACATCCTTAGAGACGAAGGACTCACTTGCTTCATCTCATTTCTGGGTACCGGCATTTAGAAGAGGGTGGACCTGTATAGCCCATGCTCAGCAGGAGTTCTGAGCTGAGTGAACGAGAAGTCACAGCTTGCTAAGTCCCTGTGAAGCTGGTCACCTGGGAGCCAATTTTGTGGAAGAATGAGAGAACTCTATGGCTTACTTTGAGACTGAGCCAAAAAAACTCCAGGTTTGCTCAAGGAAAGAGTGAGAACCTCCCCAGGGCCCAAGATAGTCTGAGCAGATGCAGAGCTGGCTGCTGTCCCTTTACTGGCCTGAGGCTCTGGCGCACAGGCCTTTCCAATAAACTGCAGGGGAGCAACCAGGACCGACAAGCATGGCTGTTGGTCAGGAACACAGTGGGGTGAACATTTCTGCAAGAGCTTGTGAAACACCAGCAGTTTACTGTGGAGAAACCTGGTTACCCAGTGGTCCATCAGTCACTCTGTCAGCTGTAACATGCTTGTCCTTCCAGGATGACACTCACTGACTCAGGAGCTATGAGTAAAGTGAGGCGAAGCCAGGGGCTGAGCCTGAGATGCCCTTCAAGGGACAGGAATTATTGGAAATTATTACTCATGGAAGGACTGGCTTGGGCAAAGTCGCCAGGGAAGGTGATTCCTACATACACGACGATATGTGATATACCAACAGGCTTCACGATGTGTGGCCCAGGCTGAACACACGGATTGGTTATTTATGTCACAACTGGAGCTGGAATAGGTATTTGTTCCATGCTTGGGGTAGCAGTGGGGTGTGGTGGTAGTGGGGGTTTTAAGTGTCATTTTCTCTTTTCCTGGCCTGAGTTACTTTCCCCAGCTCTGTTGAGTAGGCACAGAGTGGGAATAGGGTCATGATTATATAATAAGGTGAGGCAAGACTTAGGTTTCTTTCCTGGTTGGGCTATAAAGAGCTACATGAACTTGGCTTGGAAGGTGAAGACATTGGGAGGAGGTGTGGAGTCTGGGAGGATGACCAGGCTAATGAAATACCTGTATGGAGTCTGCTTTGGGGAGGGGGGTCTCTCTTGCCCTGGGGTCTCCGGGTGCCCTATTCTTCTGAGAACTCTGTAAAAACTCCTTGGTGGTGGGTTGGGTATGGTGGCACACATCTTTAATTCTAGCACTCGGGAGGCAGAGGCAGGTGGATCTCTGTGAGTTCAAGGCCAGCCTGGTCTACATAGTGAGTTCCAGGTCAGCTGGGGCTACAGGGAGACCCTGTCTCAAAAAGACTGAAACCAAACAAATAACAAAAACCATCACTACCAACAAAAACAACACAAAACAGCAGCAGCAGCAGCAGCAGCAGCAGCAGCAGCAGCAACAACAACAACCAAGAAACAAAAACTCCTTGGTAGTGAATGCTGGATTTCTATTGACTATCTTCATCACATTCCAAGTACTGATTGGGCCAATTTTCTCTAATGATCTGTGCAAAAACCTCCCCAGGAGCTTGCACAGGAGTTGGCCTTTTTGGCTTTTGCAACGACCACAGTCTACTTCTTTTTTAATCTTTTTGAGACAGGGTCTCCCTGGGGCCCCAGCTGTCCTGGAACTCACCAAGTAGACCAGGCTGGCCTTGAACTCACAGAGATCCGCTTGCCTCTGCCTCCGGAGCGCGGGGATTAAAGGCATGCGCCACCACACCCAGCCTTGAAGGATAATACAAAGCTTTAACTGGCCTAGTAAAAAAGAATAAGCTAAGAAAACACCTCACATGGGGCCCCCAGCTGTCCTGGACCCCACCAAGTAGACCAGGCTGCCTTTGACCTCACAGAGACCCGCCTGCCTCTGCCTCCCTCCCGAGTGCTGGGATTAAAGGCGTGTACCACCACGCCTGGCTCACAGTCTACTTCTTAATTTACCTTTTTAAGATTGGAAAGGGAATTATACTTTTTCATTAAATTTTTTTTCCATCTCTGCTTTACATCTGCTGAAATGTCAAATGTAATTAAAAACAAAAAACAAAAAACAAACCAAATCAGAATTTGCTCCATCAGAGATTTTTTATGCTCTTGTTGCTTGCTGGGGATCTGGGGACCGTGGGGAAGGTCATGCAGTGCCGACTTAATCCTACCTGCCAAGGTTATGAAGCAGAAGGAGAGTATGGGAGGAAGGTGATTCCTAGAGCACTTGTGGGTTAGCCAGAAGGAGCTGTTTGTTGCCTGGCCTGCTGGGGAGGGACAGCTCACACGTCTCTTGTTCTTTCAGGGACAGTGACTGATGGGCAGACCTTCAGTCCTAGAGGATGCCAGTGCTCTAGCCCTTCTCCTTTGCTATGGCACTTTTTGTTCCATTGTAATAGACGGGGCCTGAAGCCTGTCCCTGGAAATAACTTCTGCTTTCTCCTTAGGACAGAAATTGCCCAGGCCCCAGTACCTCTGAAATGGAACCTGATGTTCTGCATCTCAGTGCAAGGATCCAAATTTCATAAATCTCATGGGTATAAAAGCCATAGGACCCCATGGTTTTTTTAGACACAGACATTAATCAACATCACCTTTTAAAATGCTTTTAACCCCAATGAAGACCGTGGCCTGATACTCTGGTTAGGATGGGGAGATGGCGAGAAGAATGAAGGAACGCATGACTTACTTTTATAAATATAGAAACTACCACCAATCCGTTTGGACTCTTTGCAGCTTCTGTGACATTTGTGTATAACTCATGGTTGTAGTGGATGAGCTGCACCTGCCAGGAAGAAAAACCAAGAGTAAGAACAACAATCCAGCGTCAAAAAGGTAGGAGGCACAGCTGCTCAGACACAGGGTAAACTGCAAGGCATGCTGAAGAACAAAAGGAAAATAAGCTTTTAAAAACTTTATTTTTATTTTATGTGTATGAGCATTTTGCCTGTATATATATGTAAGTGCACCATGTGTGTGCAAAGCCTATGGAGATCAGAAGAGGGCGTTGGATCCCCTGGACCTGGAGTTACCTGTGGTTGTTGGCTGCCATGTGGGTGCTGGGAACTGAACCTTGGACCTCTGCAAGAGCAGCCAGTGTTCTTAACCACTGGGACATCTCTCCAGTCCCAGGAAAGACAGGTTTTTAATCAGAGTGATATGTAAATATAATCTATGTGGGTAAAAGGTGCACATACACATACACACACACATTCATACACACATATGAAAAGGCCCATAGATATTTGCAAATGTTTTCTTGTAACAAGCATGCATTTAACAAGCTCAGTGCCCATCGGATTCTACTTCCCTCCTAGGTCATTTCTCCTGAAGTGTGTGTAAACTGAATTGTCCTTATTGGGAGTGGAACCACCCTTCAGGAGCAGGTATACTTTTTTCAGCAGCACCAGCAGCTGCCCCTGGCAGTGAGTAAATCTTCCTGACAGTCTTGGGGTGAGCATGGAGCAGTTAAGTCCTGAGCAAGCCCTGTGGCTCTGAAGGGAGTCTGATGGTATCAAGGATGTGTGTCTCTGCTGAGGAGAGAGTGCATGGCTCAGCTCCCTGCCGTGCCAGCCTGCTAAGATCATCTGCTTAGGCGAATTTTTATTTCTTCCTTCTCTAGCTAGTGACTTGCCTGTCAAGTCCTGTGCAGCAGGCAATTGGGGGCAGCAGAGGAACACTGGATTTGAGCCACAGTTAACTAGGTTTCTCCCAATTACTTAATTCTTCAAAAATTTCCATTGTGGAAAATGACATGCATGTTATGTCCAAATGTATGCATCACAGATTTTTATTCACATGATCAAGTTTTACCCCATATCACTGGGACCCAATTGCTTCCCTTTTGAGGGATATCCCTTTTCAGGGCTGTGGTTTTAAAATATATCTTATAACAATATGGAAGTATAATTTTTATAACAAATTTAAAAATGTGAATGCAACCAATATCTCTTTTATCTTTGTTTAATACCAACCCAAATGATAGGAACATTGACAGTTGAGTATAAATCCTCTCAGACACCTTTCTGTGCTTATAAACCACACAAATGCACACACGCAAATAAGGTTTAAAGAAACAATAGAGGGCTGTGGATGTAACTCAGTTGGTAGAGTGCTTGTCTAGCATGTGTGCACTTCTGGGTTCAATTCACAGCACCACATAAACTAGGCATGGTGGTGCACTCATGTAATCTCAGTACTTGGGAGATGGAGGCAAGAGGATCAGGAGTTCAAAGTCATCCTCAGCTATATAATGAGATCAAAGTCAGCCTGGGATTCAGGAGACAGTATCTCAACATAACAACAGAAACCACAATGGAAACAATAAAGATGGAATAATTTACAAATATGTTTCTAAACTTATTTTAAAATAACAGATTAGTTTACGGCTGTTTTTTGAAGTCAATGCAAATAAATCTAAAGTCCTTTTGGTAGCTATAGCCTCCCGCCTTGTAGGGACACTCTGACACAGTGAACCACCCTATCAGCTTTCATGCTGTTTCTGTTGTTTTGTCTCTTACAGCATTGTCACAGAAAACCCATCATAGATCTTTCTGTAAAGGTCTAGTGATTTGTACTGGCTGATCTGAGAATTTAATAAGGTGGTGCCTGTGAAAGTGATTTGTGTCTCTGAAAGTACAGGAGTATTCATTACTGCCAATGTCCTGTATTGCATTTAAGAAAGAGTGACGTTTTAGAAGTTAAGAAAGGTAATGATCGAAAAAGAACATTTTCCTTGAATTTTGGGAATTAAAATTAACCTTGTTTACTACAGTGGTCTGCAACCTTTACTAGGCACCAGATCACCCAGGTGCTTTGAAACGCCCCTGTGCCTATTTGTCCCACTCTAATTCTGATGAACAGATTTTGAGAGGAAGCAGTCATTGTGTTTGTTAAATGCTCTCCAGCTGGGGGTCCATTGGAGGTACAAACCAGTGGAGCATAGTTGATGGGGACCACTAGTCTAGCAGTGCCCAGTCAGGTGGTATCTTGAATCTGACAGTGACTTTAACATCCTGAGTCAGTGGAATGTGTTATAGAGGGGGCACATGCTAGTGCTGCTCTTGAGATTTTCCATTTCACTTTTTATAAAGTTTTGCCAGTGGAGACAGATGATTACACAGCAGTTACTCTGCCATCAGAAAGGTAACGGCAAGTGGGAGCTGCAGGATGCTTCGCCTCCGAAGTACTCTGTCAGGCCTGTGCTCTTCATACTTTGCCCTGTTGTCACCTCCTCACCCTGCCACAACTTCCTGCTTGTGGAGCAGCGTTCCTGTGAGGAATAAGCAGAAGCTGGTGCATCTCATATACTCCACACACCTTCCCAGGGCTGCGCCAGCTTTCTAATGAGGACAAGACCCAAGCTGCCCTGGGCTGGGACTTCCCACCTGACCTACATAACCAGCTAAGTCATTAGGGGTTGCACCATTGCTTCAAGCCTTGCCTTGAAATTGCAACAGGTGAAGTAGAAGGCAATCTGGTGTAGGGGTTCTTCTTTCCAACTTGTAAGCCAGAAAAGGACAGAGAGAAAGCTCCTGGGCCATGGGTTGCCCCGTGGCTGGGTCAGATTCTGTCAATGGCTAAAGGCTATAAGAATTGGCTGGTGAGTATATGAACCAGGCTGTACTGTGCTTTAAGCTTAAATTAACACACTAAGAATTTTGACCTTAGGTCTTGCCTCCTCTTCATTTTAGGTGAGATGGCTAGGATTCTGATATAAGATACTTTGGTGTCTATTAGCAGTTGGTTGATGGACTGCCTGCTGTGTTAGGTTGAACTATATAAAAGTGACCTTTCGATCTACAAAACTGGTGGTTTTACAGAACTAATGTGTTCAGAGTGAAACTATTCTGAATTCAGCCTACCTCCCCACTCCATCACCACGTTATTAAGAAGGCGTTGAGTGCTTTGCTACTCAATGTGTGGTCTAGGTACCAACAGTTGTCTCCCCATCTGGAAGCCTGTTGAAAATGCAGAATTTGGATTCTACCTCAGAACTACCGAATCAATGTTTGCTTTCTGACAAATTCCCAGTGACTGGAATGTACATTCAAGCTCGAGAGGGGCTAGTTTAGCGTCTACCTTCTCAAACTGTGCATTGCAATGTATGAGGTCACATAACAGGATGTGGGCACCATCATGAAAAAAAAAACAGTAGTAAATGGTTTCTGAACACACAGTGACCAAAAATTAATTCAAAACCAAATGTATAATGAATCTAAGATGTTTCTGACAGTGTTTACACACGTTGTGCTGTCTGACTTCACGGTAGCCTTGGTTCTGAACACCAGCTTATGCACTCTGTGCCCTGTAGGGTGTCATACCACATCACACCAACAGACACTGCCTGAAACACCTCATCTTTGACTATTATATGTCATGAATGGCAAAGTTTTTACTGTATGTATGAATTTTTTTGTTCTTATAGGAACATAATGGTTTAACTGCAGAAAACAAAGACTCAATATTTCCCTATCACTATCCCTCAGCTTGCAAATATCAAATTAGTCTATCTTTGGATTATATTGTGTTAGAATGTTTGATTTTAGAGGTTGCAATTTGAGTCACTGACTTGAATTTCATTAAAAAAATCATTAGTGAATTTTGGCTTGAGATTGGGACAGAATATTTAACAATTTTTGAAATGCCCTTAAACATACTTTTCCATTTTGAACTGTGTATTTATGCAAAGCTTCATTTTCAATGTTGATGATTACAAAATTAAAATATCTATCAACTCTGAAAAATGTTAAAGATGTTTTGCATCCTGCAATATCAAATAACAGCCAAGATTTCATTCTTTATGTAAAAATAAACAAGCACCTCCATCTCGTCAGTGTGCAAATTTGTTTTCCTCTTAGGAGCAAGAGGAGCTTGAACAGACTTAGTCCAGACAAATCTCTTCATTGCAAGGTCCCTTTTCCGAAGAGGGCAGTACCCTGCTCATTGGGCACAGTGGGGTCTAGGAAACATGGCCAGATAGGGTTCTGACATCAGTAGGGATGGCCATTGGCCTCTTCCCCAGCTCTTCTGATGATGAAGAACAAGGCTGAGGAGATCATAGGGAAACACAGCAGTCGCAAAGAGCCCAACCAAAGAGCCTGAGACATGGACCAACAGTTCAGATGGTTAGGGAAGGATGAAGGTGGCTCAAGATGAGACCAACTCACACAGGACTTTGCAGACCATGGTGAGGATCTTTGATTTTATTTCAAGCACAACAGAGTTTTTGGTGTTAAGAAAGAAATCAATTGACCCAATGTTCATTTCTCAAGAGGTCTCTGGCTACTGAGAGGGGCAAAGTAGAGACAGAGGAAGTCTTACCTACCATTCTTTACTTCATAGCCATCTCTCATTTGTTGTCTCCAGGACAATTTCCATGAACTACTGACACTGAGGATCAAGCTCCTCCATGTTCCCATGGTGCTCTTACCCAAGATCTATTGTGATGATAAACTAAGTTGTGATGACTGATTTTATATGTCAACTTGATTGGGCTAAAGGGTGTCCAAATAGTTGGAGATGTTTCTGTGAAGATGTTTCCGGAATAGATTTACGTTTGCATTAGTAGACTAAGTAGAATATGCATACCATTTGTAACATGGGCAAACATTTGCTATAAGCATGCAGAGAACAGAAAGACAGAAGAAGTGTAATTTATTCTTGAGGTGGAGCATCCATCTTATTTGCTCTCAGACATCACATCCTGGTTCTTGGACCTCCGGAGTTTGGCATCTGGGATTTACCCTACAAACATCCTTTAAATGTCCATGGGTCTCAGGCCTT